AAATCGGTTTCGTAACTTGTTGCTAACTGTGACAATATATACAGGGTGATGAAAAAATTACGTATAAGCTGGATAGTACGTTGTTAAGAAAGTTCTGATATACTCAAAAAAAAAGTTAAAAAAAATCCCTGCACCAAACTTTGGAAAATATCAAATTTCAAAGTTGAAGAATTAACTTCGTAATTCACATATCACTATTACAAAGTTAATTCTTCAACTGTGAAGTTTAATATTTTCAAATATTTGGTTCAGGGATTTGTTCATCATTTTTTTCGAGTTCTTCAAAGCCTTCTTAAAAACGTCCCATCGAGCTTATACGTCACATTTTCATCGCCCTCTACAAATAAGGCAAATATCTATGTGAAAAATAACTCCAAACATTGGCGTCAACTTCCTTCTAGCAATCATTGACAGTACAGTCAGACAGACCCTAGAATATAATAAAAGAAATTCTGTTTTAGTAATGACGTTGATATTCACCTTCAACATTTTACCTCCCACATGTTTTTGTCAAGTCTAATGTGCGTCAAATCATAAATTTATTTCTGTTCTATTCAAAAATGACAAGCGTATTGACAAACATCGGTTATGATTCTGTAATAATAATTAGGCGGTAATTACAGACATTGTCAATGAAAAGGGGATTATTGTCGCGAAAACAACCCAAGGGCGTATTCCATTCTGCAAGGGAGAAGTACATACATGGAGTATCATGAGCCCTAACTGAACACAGCAACTGTTGAGTTCCCATTGAAAAGATGACTGGACTCTCACAGATTATTATGTCATTTAGTTAATTGTTATTTTTATATGGAATCAAGTGTACAAGCAGATGGGGAAAATTACTAGGTGCCCTCGTTCAAAATGTTTAGTTTAGAGTTTTTTATAAGAGAAAACATTTCTAATAGTCCAGGATCTAATTTATGTATGAGATAAAAAAAAACGTTCTCTCAGTGTTACCACATGAACTTGTGGCCAAGCAAGACGGATTAATCTCATCAAAAAAAAAAAAAAAAACTAAATTAAGAAAGTGGTCAATTAACATGTCGTAAGATGTGGGCACCGATTTAAAAATCGTTATAATTACTAGAGTTTTATTTAATTTTAAATTATTATTTAGTACTGTACATTAAACGCAATAGGGGTGAAACCGTTAAACTTAATCACGATGATAATAATTACATTTTATTGTATCCGTATTGATGAAGCTTATAAAGTAAAACGTCTCGTCAATGATGTCTCTCGCCAGTCTGCGTTGTTCTCTTCCTGTGGACAGGAAGTATCAATTTCAATTAACTCCCGCGCTATAAATCAAGTGGTAAATAAAGAAGCAGGCGCTGGAAATAAAAACAAATGCCGTCAATTGAGGTGGCGCCTGTCTTATTGTCAAACAAGCCCTATATCAGTGACGTCATCTTGTTCTGTCTCTAGTAACACCAAATCATTTCTTTATTATATAGAGATTTTCTCAACGCCTCGATTTTTACAACAAATCAGACGAACATCCTACAACCATCACTTTCCCATTATTCTTATTACATTTTTGCCCATCTTCTCCTCTTTCTTTATTATCTGACCGTTCTAGTAGAACTACTGTCAAAATTTATTGGTTATTGGATTGCTGAAGCGCCACAACAAATGCTTTCTCGTTTCGATAAATCTCTGTCAAATCCGGTGATATTTTTTTTAGTAGATCCACTCATTGGGGAAAGGATAATCTCAACCGAAAATGGTTTAATAATACGTCCCGACAGTATCCAGTATAAAGAATCGCTTACCTAAATTACAAAGCGTATAATATTGAAAATTGAACACTGAATCATCAAGAATTTTTGTTATTTGGGTACTACAGTGTTCTACAGAGAGCAGCCTCCTGAAATGTCACATGATGCACAGATAAGCATTTCTTGCGAGTTGTACGCCATATTTTCTCTACGACCAAACTACAAGAAAGCGTGATCATTTCCAGGAATTCTAAAAAGTCGACAAAGGTTATCTGAATGTGTTTTATGATTTACTTAAACAGATCTTTTTGCAGATAATTGTTATTATCTTATCTATTATTCTATAACTTATTTCCTTAAAAATCATAGTCCTTAAAAACATTCATTTAAATGAAACACCTAATACATAAGTGCTTGTTTCCAAGGAAATATTGTTTTACGACCTTAAAAGATAAATTGATCAAAGAAAAATTGTAAAATTCAACTAATCTTGTTCAAACGACAGGTGTATCAGGACAGCCTAATTTCAAAATGAAAATGAAATCAGTTTACTCTATATCTAGAAATTTCAATCAAAAGAAATCTACGAACAATTCAGTGGTCTATTTTTCCAAAAATAAACATAATTTTATTATGATATTAAAACCGAAAAAAAGAATTGAAAGTCGAAGTGCACTGAAAGTATTTTTCGTGGATATTGCGTGCGAAGAATCGATCCGATGCAGGTGTTTAGGTCATCTATCGTGTCCTCTGACATGGGATTACATTTCTTTCCCACTACTAACACCCCTAAACGCATATCAGAACTCTTCTATGTCCAGATATACAGGGTGTCTCAGAAATAAGTACATTAATTTTAACCAGTAACAGAACTCGTGAAACGGAACAACTTTTTTATCTAGCATTTTTTCGAAAACTCAAGTCTAATTTCGAATTTTCCCACCCATATATTCGCGAGCCGTCTATGTTCACCTTAAATAATAACTTAAACAATAGCAACACTACAACAATGAAGAAGGTACCGTAGCAACCGTTTTGACACTGACAATTATTTTTATGTCAATGTTATTAAACGTTGTCTCTTTAAAGTTTGTTTGGCATTTCTAATTTATAGACGAAATGTGTTGAAATGGCTTTGTTTTCAAATCTGGAATGCACCGATATCGTTTTAACGTACGGTGAAACTCGGAAAAACGGCACTCGTGCCCAACGAATTTTTTCAGAAAACCTTCCAAATCGTTGTCTGCCAAATGTGCGCAGTTTTAAGAACGTTGCAGAATTTTCGAGAGTACGGATCTATTAAACCTGGATCTCAGGATCGGGGTAAGTTACGTTGTAATAGAATTGCTAATATTGAAGAGGCTGTTTTGAAGAGTGGCGAAGTTCGACCGGGCACTAGCACGTATCACTGTCTAGTGTGATGTATCGGAGAGTAGTATTTGGAGGATACTCAGAGAACAAATGTACCCCTTTTAGGACCAGAAAGTTCAGTTATTGAAACTAACAGACTTACCACGTAGGCAAAACTTTTGTGAGTGGGTTAATAGAAAAATAAACGAACAAGCAAATTTTGTATCTCTTCTACCATCAACTGATGAGGTCGGTTACACGAGGGAAGGTGTTCAACATCCACATTTGGGCCATTAGGGAGCAAGATTTTCAATTTCTCTCTAAATGTTTGTCACATTGACAAGATTAGGAAAATACGTATCCTAGTAACTGTTTTTGACCATAAATTATTAATTATAATAATTATTAGTGTCCATGGGTGACTGAGGATCCATGGGCGGGTAACCTTAATTGGTGTATAACTTTAACAATTTTTAACTTGATAATTAAAAAGTTCTTGACAAAACTCTACTAAAAAAAGTTGTTGAGTTCAATGAGCACTATAACTGATTAAAATTAATGTACTTATTTCTGAGACACCCTGTATAACCAATAGTGATTTTAGATCGAAGTTTGAAAGATTGTGACTAATGGCATACAGATTTCTTATTTTCTTTTCTACATTCTTACATTTTTCTGACAAATGTTTGTGTTGAAAGTATGATTTTTCATATTAGATAAGCGTACCAATTTCATGCTATAAAATAGAAAAATGAGTGTACATGTTGGATGATTTCCAATTACTTTTGTTTTTATGTTACCACGATGTATTTTATTGTGCAAAAATCCCCAGCATGCATTGATTTTGTTTAGCGTAGGTTGAAACGGCGAAAGAACTAATGAAACACTAGAAAACAGCTATTGTAAAACCTTGTTAACGGTCTAGCTGTATATTTTCTATGAGCCATAAACAAGAAAGCAGAGAGGAATCGTGAAATCTTGGAGCTGAGGTTTATCCGTGATGGTGTGAACTCACAGATGCTGTTTTCTTAGGTCGTCTTAGGTCGAGTTTCAAGCCATACGCACTCTCAGACCAACAACGGCAGATTTATTGTTGTTTCTCTTGTGTCCTACAAGATAATACCTTCGTCGAGAATTTCAGGTGGTTTATTAAGGCACTGAAGACTAAGCAGAGCTTTCATTCACAATTAAGTAGTTTAAAAAATCTGCACTTTAAATTTCCAAATTCTGTTCAGTTGTACTCAATCATAATTGGATTCATACTTTTTCACAATACTTAAAATAAGAAAAAACATCTTGCTGTTGTATACGATATCTACACATCCAGTAATATATTGCTATCAGTATTTTCTCTTGTAGCAAACAATTCATTAAGACTGAGAAGCATATCCAAAATTTGATAGACATTTTACTGATATTTCCTGTTACTGACTAAATAAGAACATATAAATTTGTCTATACAACAAAAGTGGTTAAAACTTAAATAACTCTCATAGTTTTTTATTCATATAATTTCTCGTTTCGTTTTGTCATTCACTTTTTTGTTTTCTTTCGTCTTTTAAGTGAAGTATTCGTTTAACTTTCTTGAACACTTATTTTCAACACTCTGGATTGTGTTATAAATAATTTATATTTGTTTAATTTATTAAATACCTATGGAAATAAAATTTAAAAAATTACTGTGAAAAAAATCCGGAAATTAAGAAGGGCAGAGATATATTTCTATTTCAAAAATTCAAATGTAAGATCCAATCACATTAATTGACAGGATATTACTAAGACCTCTAGTGACCACTTCTTACAACATTTTTAAGCACAACACTAGTGACCTCTAGTAACAATAAAATTACAAACAGGATTCTCTCTTTCCCATATAACATAAATTAAAATTAGGAGAAATCTACAGTACCACAAACTGTAAACAAATAGTAACAAAAATAACCCCACATTTTTCAGATAATGTTTTATCACAGAAATCAATGGGTTGTTGTACTTACACTATAACAAAGAAAACGATGAGTTTGATATGAGTTAACAATACGCAATAATTATCAATGCGATGAATTAAATGTGATATATTAAAAAAATTACCTCCGATACCCGTTAAGAAAATTTATTAATTTGTTCCACAATCTAGCTCAGATTTTAACAGAAACATGATGAAATTTACTTTGCTCTCTTACATCGTAATTAATTTATTAATTGTAACACAAAGTTACAAACCAGTATTTTTAATCCATGGAATCATGACAGGCAGTGTGTGTATGGATTTAATCAAAGCTAGGATTGAAGAGGTAATTTCATTGTTGTTTAACGTGATATATTTTCTTTTTTTCCATAGAAACATCCAGGAACAATGGTTTTTAACACCGATCGTTTCGGAGGATGGTCAAGTTTAGAAAATATGTGGTACCAAGCACAGCAAATTGGAAGTGATTTAATAAATATAACACAATTATACCCTGAGGGAATACATCTATTAGGTAAACTTATAACTTGTAGCAATTTTTTTAAATCATACAAAAAATATATAGGCTACTCACAAGGAGCTCTTCTATCTAGAACAATTTTGCAAGCCTTTCCAGAACATAATGTTAAAAATTTTATATCCCTTAGTGGCCCACAAGCCGGACAGTATGGAAGTAATTTTCTGTCATTGATATTCAACATAATTATTAAAATGATTATTTCAGCTGATTTCCTTCATCTAATTTTTCCTGACTTGGCACTCAAATCAGCGTTTGAATTATTTTACTCTAGAGTGGGTCAACACACCTCAGTGGGGAATTACTGGAATGATCCATATCATCAAACCTTATACAAAGAATACTCACAGTATTTACCCTATGTTAATAATGAGATAAAGTCCAATAGAAGTGAAGAGTTTAAAAAAGGGATTACCAAGCTCAACAAAATGATATTAATTGGAGGACCCGACGATAACGTGATAACTCCATGGGAATCAAGGTTTGTATACTTAATGAAACTATTATTTTTTAAAATTATGATTTTGTAGCCAATTTGGTTATTACGGAGAAAACAATACTGTAGTTAATTTAATTGACCGTGATATATATAAGAATGATCTCATAGGACTGAAAACTTTAGATGATGCTGGACGCTTAAAAATAATAACCGTACCAGGTGTTGATCACTTTATGTGGCATCTCAACATTTCAATAGTTGATAACTTTATTTTACCATATCTGGATTGACTTATTGCTCTAGTACTTTTATTTTTGATAGGATTCATATTTATTGGGTTTATTTACAATAAACAGTAAAATAAGAAATATTCACCTGAATTGTTAACTTTTGTCTTAATATAAATGCGATTTATGAAATGTTAACAAATTCAACGTGATCTGTTCATAGTGATAAATAGATATTATTAAAATTAGGGCTTGCAACTTTCAACTTACCGAATTGTAATAGTAGTTACTCTGAAGATCGTGATATTAGAATAAAATATAAATGAACCACTTGCCGTTTTTCTTTCGCTGAAAATATGTTGCTGTTTTAAAACTTCGCATTTTGCATTTTAGTTTTAAAACGAAATGACGTGTCAATGCCGCCAACGTCATGAACATTTGATCTGATAATGAAAGAACAAAATTCCCTAAAAATTGGTTTTTTTCTTTTTGACATCTGACACTCGTATTTATCCGGCTTCACAAAATTTAGAAAAAAATTCGCAAAAGTCGGTATTTTGCAACAACCCTTCTAATTTGTGTTTGAATGAATGTATGTTGTTTAAGTGATTTTGTTAGTACAGGTAAATATGCACCCAAAAATGAAGTTATGAACGCACCAATTAGTGCTGAACTTTTTTGTTTCGCATCTTTTTTACGCAGTTTTTCCAAGTCACACATTAATCTTCCTTATCGTGCGCTTTTTTTTACAGAAAATGAATTCACCGATAGCTCCTGAAGAAGACGTGATCCAAAACATGTAAGCAATGCACAATTTTGAGGTTATGTTTCGGGGAATCATCGTTTTCTTTATAGAAATTATACAGGATCTGAAACCGAATTTTCGGCAAAAGTAGTAGGGCATGAAGTGACGGTCCATTGTAGCTCTGGACAACACAACCATGGGAGCTCAAAGGTGAAACTTATCAATCGGATTGATTATAACTGGGAGTTTCACTACTATCGGGGGCAACTGGTTGCAGTTCATATCAATGGGAAGATTGTTGCGTATGGCATGAAAGGTTTGTAATGACGATTCCAGAAGGGGTGGTTATAATAATTTATTTAAAAACTTGCAGGAAAGGATGGGGGGATGGTCAGAGTTACAAACCAAGAAACAAGTGAAAGAGCGTTGATTAAGAACTTGAAAAATGATGTGAAAGACATCGCGTTCGCTTTTTCACGACAACAAATTATTTTGGGGTGTATTGACGACGAGGGGAACGTTTTAGTATATGAAATCATCGACGAACCTAGTGCAATAAAGTATCCTTTTTATTGCTATTAATTCATAAATTAGTCGTATTGTTTCTTAATTTTAATAAGGTACAAAGTGCTTCTTCACATCTTTCATAGTGATGTAGTTCCACATACAAGCCCAAATTTTCGAATAATTTGGTGTCCATATTTGTCATGTTTTGATGAAGATGATGAGTCACCAGATGATCCTGAGAAAATGTTTGTAGTGCTGAATGGACGCAAAGGTATACATTAAGGTTACAAAATGTTTGCTGGGTCACGTTTTTTTTTTGTAGCTGAAATTTGGAATGTAGGCATAATTAATTCTAAATATGGATCAGGTCCATTAGAGCCTAATGAAAATTATGAAGGGTATGTAGAAATCACCCATTCAGCTGAACTCGTGGATGCCTCTTTTTCATCTGATGGAACAGCAATAGCAATAGCTTGTTTAGATGGTTATGTAAAATTTTTCCAAGTATGGTCAACACATTACTTAAATTACAAGTCTTTATTTTTTTCATTTGTAGATTTATATGGTTGATAGTGAGAAACAAAAGTGTTTACATGAGTGGAGACCACATGATGGCAAACCATTATCATCTATAATATTTGTCGATAATTTACTGGAGTGCAGTTCACAGTAAGTAGCTCTAGGAGATTACATATATAAAGGTATATTTTGAAGTCCATGATTGCGTTTTCAAATATTTATACATTGGTATATTTTTTTTTAATTAATGAGATTTTTTAACGAAAACGCGTTCTCTACTTGAACAAAACTAATTTCGTTATAGTTTAATATGAGAAGATGACTGCGTAGCTGCTGAAACACGTCGATAATATTCGGTGTTTAGAGAACGTAACTGAATTAAGAAGTACAAAAAATGTTTTAAAAATTACCAACTTAGTAAACAATCAACAATGCATAGCAAATTTGACTACAGAGATTTTTATTTATTAAATCTTAACATACAATAGCCGTAGTTGTCACAATCTCGTCATATAAATAATTATCTAGAAGAAAATAACAAATTAAATGTAGTATATGGTTGTCAAGTTTTGTCAAAAAGAAAGTAGCTACTCTGTAAACCATACAAAAATTTCAATTTAACGGCCGAGTTTTTACTATCCCGGGTGTCTGGAAAATGGCGAATTAACTCTTCAGTACGTAGTATTTTTTTTAGAACAATACTCTTAACAACCAGTAGTCATTAGTCGTTGTGCATTATTATTAATAAAACAAGCTGTTATTTTTCATTAATAAATAAACAAAACAAACCTTTAATAAGATATTTATAAATTATAAACAAAAACTAACAAAAAAAAAATCCATTAAAGCATAACCAATTAAACACTAGAGAAGAAGCTCGTAATGTTTCCAAATTTTTATCATTTTTTGTAAAAGTTAGTCATCGTTACTTGCTAAGATAAAACTGATTTTGGCAATGACATACCCTCTAAGAAAAGAGAGGGTGGGTGGGTGGGGCTACTAGCTGCCAAGATAAGACTGATTTTGGCAAATGAGATATTAAGAGAAGAAAGGGTGGGTGGGCGGGGTTAGTACCTTCTAAGATAAAACTAATTTTGTCAAATGACGTACCTTCTAAAGCGGGTTCTACACTATCCAATTTATCATTAACTTCCCTCGCTCCTGAAATACAATGATAATTTTTTTGAGTCACCCTGTATACGCAAATCCAAAAAATGTTATTGGAATGATAAATTACAAGTACAGACTCATCATATTTTGTACATTTTAGATAAGATTTTTTCGGCAAATTTTTGAGCTAACGTTATCAATTTTTTGGAGGGTAGAAGCAAAGATATTTTGACTAAAATTTTATTATGCTTTTTATAACCTTAAAACATCTGCAAAATTTCAACGCATTCGGTTTAGTAGATTCAAAATGAAATCACAAAATGTTGTTTTATGATTTTGATTTTTTTCCCAGAACAGTAGGAATCATGTAGCACTATGTTATTTTATACAATTTGAAACCCATTTACTGTGTACAATTTTGAAGTGACGTCATCACATTATTGGTGGGGATGATTAGACAAATTTTGGTTAGTGTTTTAGTGTTTTGATATTCTTAATATAAATACAAAATTCGACAACCAACTTTCGGAGATTATCTGTCTAATAAAAATCCGGGACGGCAGACGGGCGGACAGATAGATTTCTTCGTACTGTAGGGATCGTGAAAAGTCGAGAAAACGTAAAAGTAGAGAGTCGGTCGACGGAAATCGATTACAATACTTCCTTTGCTTACTCTCGGGAAGTAAAAATCTGCAGTTGGTAGAGGTAATTTCACCACAAATGGTGACCGAGGCGGAGCTTAAGTTGTGCGACTTGTAGTTGGTCCAGCAGTGGCGTAACATCGATGTATTGAGAAGGGAGGTTCGGCTGAGTTATATATTTTTTAAACAATTAAAGAAAATCATTGGTAGTCCCGAATTACACGAAATATATCTAAAATTACCAAAAAAAAATTGACGAAAAAAGAACATGCTCTAATTCCATCAATTTATTGATCAATAACTTGGATTATGTAAAACCCTCTTTAGAAAAGAGAGGGTGGATGTGCGGGGCTAGTAACTGTTAAAATAAAAATGATTTTGGCTAATGAGATAGAGATGGTTCATTTAAAGTTCAACATGATGAGTCATCACAATCTGACAATTGACTTTCAATCAGTAACGTAACATGCATACTTCAGAAGGGGATTGTTTTTTAAATTTATTTTGTCATTTCCTTTATATTTTTCGTGAAAAGTTGCAGATCTTTATTATTTGCGTGTATAATACTATGAATTTTTTTTTTATTTGTTAAATACACGAACGCGAATGAATCATTAGGCACTAATTGTGACGATCTCATTTTCCTGCAAGCTTCTTTACGCCTAAGTATTAAGGGTTGCAATCTCGAAGTTCAGATCAAGGATGTTGCGGATGCAGATTTTTCAACATCCGCGAATGCGGATGCGGATTTTTGGAGGCGCACATCCGCGGATGCGGATTTCAAGTTTTTTTTTTAAGAAACTTAGTATATGTACAGAAATCAGTTAAAAAATGGGGGTTTTTAATATTTTTATTTAATGAACAAATTTTTAGTACGAAAATTTAAAAATTGTTGAATTATATTTAATAAAAAGTAATATTGCGGCCTTTTCAGGTTCGAGTCTATTTCGCAGAGGTTCATAAATTAATCCTGCGCTACTAAATAACTGTTCACTGGGAACACTAGCTGGTGGAGGCGTTAAAAATCTGCGTGCTATTCCAGATAAAATTTTTAATTCGGAACGATTAACGCTCCACCATTTAAGTGGATTTTCATTTATATTCAGGCTTGTTTTATTTCGATACGAAAGCAATTCCTTCTTGAGGACAGCATCAGGGCAACCATTTTCTGATATTTCTTGACTCTCATCTTCACTTGACGAATCTAGCATCATGGCAAGATCGCTTTTTAAGCATGGCTTTCTGGCTGCACCGGACGTTCCTGGTTGTTCCGTATCTTTCACGAGGGAATCTGCCATTCTCATTTTTTTCGCTGCTTTGAAATTTGGAGATATTTGAGAGTTCGAGACGTCATTCTCAATGTTTGTCCTAATCTTCAAAATATCGTCTTTAATTTTTTCCTCGGTCACTGGTGTAAAAAACTTGTGCTTATAGCGCGGGTCTAAGTAGGTGGCTATGACATATAAATTGTTTTCTTCCAACAAGGAAAATTTTGCTGAAATTTCAGTTTTCAGAGTCGTGACAGCCACCCGAATGGGATCAGAATCCTGCGATCTTGTTAAATAATCATCAAGTTTTTTTCCAAGCACTTTAATTATTGGAATCACAGATGATATAAGTGTATGAGAGTTACTTAGTTCCCGTGTGGCTTCTTCAAAGGGTTTCAATAGCTCAACACAACATTCAATAATTTTCCACTCTTCTGGCAAAATAGGGTCAATTTCACTGTCATTGATATAAAGACTTAATGCATCTTTTACCTTCAAAAAACGGTCAAACATGTAAAACGTACTGTTCCATCGCGTTACACAATCTTGAAACACTCTGAGATGCGGTTGATTCAGTCTGTCCTGGATTTTTTGCAGTTGTTTTTGAGCAATGGTGGAATGGTTAAAGTGAGTCGAAATTTTCTTACATTTTTGTTTGACGACTGTTATGTTTTCCTGCGATTGTAAACCACTTCGAATAGCGAGTTGCATCTTGTGAACTGCGCAATCCAAATCATTGAATACTGCTAATCGCCTAGCTCTTTTCATATTGGAGCCTTCGTCTCGAATAATGCAATGCACTTGTACTTTTGAAATATTCCATTCAGTAAGCATCGTGTCAAATTTTTCTGCAATTATGTCCCCTGTGTGACGGTCGTCGAAGGTCTCGCATTTCAATATAATTGATGATCGATCAAAGTTTTCTGCGATTCCATGACAAGTCAGGCTAAGCAAAGACGCATTAGAGCTTGGATCCGACCAAATATCAGAAGTAAACGCCATGTAATCAAAGTTTTCGATCAATTCTTTAACTTTGTTAGCAACTTTGCCATACAGTTCCGTGCACACAAAGTCAGTAAAAAAATTGCGCCCTCTTAAATTATATCTTGGTGATAATTCTTGTATCAGTCTGCGAAAACCAAGTCCCTCTACAAAATTAAACGGTAAATTTTGAAGTGCAATCATTTCTCCGATGAGTTTGTCAATTTTTTTCGAATTTGAATTGTTAGTATCCCACTTTTTTTCTTTTTGAACTGCTTCCGCTATCGAAAGTTGTTTCTTTGGTTCTTGTAGTGGAGTAAGGATTTTATCTAAAAATAAATACACACATAAATTATAACTTATTATGGAAATTAACAAAAACAAACGGATGCAAAATAGATTTTGAATAACGAAACTTTTATTGCATCAACTTTTTTGTATTAAATACAAAATAAACCAACTTTGGGCTTATCTGCTGTTGACATTTCTGTTTAATTTTAATAAATTTCTTAAAGCAGCTTATCTAAGAATCTATTAAGAATAATATACTTTTAAATAATTAATAAACGGAAAATGCTTTATTAAGACTAATAAATAAACACTGTTGATAGTAAAACTTACGTGCATCAGCTTTCATCTTCTGCATTTGTTTTTCGTTACTCGAACTTTCGAACAAACTAAACTGTTTTGGGTGCATGGATTTCAGATGATTTCTCAAAGACGAAGTGGTACGACCCTTGCGAGAATATGTTTTGTTACATATTTTACACTGAGCTTTATTTCGATCATCATCGGGTGTAAAATAAGTCCAAATCTCACTTTGGATCGGTGGTGCCATTTTAGATTTACTTGTCCAATAACATCACAATTCGCGCAACCCCGACTAAACACGTTCTAACGTGCGAAACGCAAAGAAAGTAAAATTCTTGTCTCCCTACGAGTGCACGCTATGCGTAAGCCGTCGGCTGCAACTAATTTCTTTCTTGTCGCGACTTGCACCACATTTACATCCGCATCCGCATGAGTTCCGCATTGATTATTGCGCATGCGGATGTCCAAATCAATGCGGAAGCTCCGCATTTGCGGATGAGGATGCGAATGTTCGCAACATCCGGTTCAGATCATTAACCTCCCGACTTTCTCCCTTTTGCTCAGCGAACGCCACATAATCTAAACAGACAGGTACCCTTACGCTAGAAAAGTTAATTATGACAGAAAGGACGGACGCCTCTGAAGGTGCGCCCAGCTCTTAAATTAAATTTGAAAGTGGATTTAGCCCGACCGATTTTGTGCTTCTACGCAATTTTACAGCTGTGTCGATTTTAGAGCGACCGATGTCTATCTTCTAAGAAAAGAGAGGGTGGGTGGGTGGGGCTAGTACCTGCTAAGATAAGACTAATTTTGGCAAATGACATATTCTCTAAGAAAATAGAGGGCGAGCGGCTGGGGCTAGTACCTGCTAAGATAAGACTAATTTTACCAAATGACGTATCCTTTAAGAAATTTAATTAAATTATTATAAGAAAAGACACTAGAGACTCCAAAGTGCTTTTAAATTCTTTCCAAAAAAAATGGGGTCTCAAAATTAACTCAAAAACAGGTCAGGTTAGAATTTTCCAAAAATAGAACACCAAAATTGCTTTAAATCATTTTCAAAAAAAATTTCCATGGGCTCCCAAAATAATACACCATGGGTACACAAGTGTCTCCCGAATTAAAAAAAAAACACTGCGGTGTTCAAAACTTTTTTAAATTCATAAAAATAAAACACTAAAACCTCAAAAGATTTTTTCAAGTTCATCCAGCAACAAAATATCAGATTCCATTAAATTTAACCGAAAATAAAACCCCAAGGGACGTAAAATTAACTGCGAACATTTTAAACGTAGACGAGTTTTTTACTTACTCGATTTTTGCTAATTTGTACTGTTGCGTTGTATCAGGCAAACATTGTTGTCAAATGGAATTTTATCAAATTATTACAAAAACAACGCAACCATTATCTTTGCACATTCTAACTGAAGTGGTAATCAAACATGGTCATGGGCGAGAGAAATATTAACTAAAAGTTTTATTACTAGTTATTGTGATAATGAATGTGTTGTTTAGTTGTTAAACATAACAAAAGAACCAATTTTAAAATCATTATAACTTCACCAATTGTGAAAAGGATTTTTTTACTGTTTTCCCATAGTCACCAGTTGATTGTTAAGAGCGTAGTGGAGAGTTAATCCCCCATTTTCCAGACACCGTGTATGTTCCAGCGTCTGGGACCAGTATTTGTAATAATTACGTGGTTTAAAATCAAGGATACTTTGTGTTGAACAAAACTAAATTAATCCTTCAAAACATGTATGCTATTCTAACTAACAAAATTCCCTAGGTGTTGGAAATTCACCATAACAGGCGCTAATCACAATTCAGAATTGAAACTATGGTCCTGTGAAACATGGACTTGCTTACAAACCATCCAATTCAAACCAGACCCATCAAGCATCATTCAAAGCGTTTATTTAAAAATGTGTATAGATTACAGTGGACAGTATTTATTAATGTCAGACTTAAACAATAAAGTTTTGTATGTCCTCCAATTAAAAAGAAACGACGAAGCTCAACAAATTTCAGTAACCATGATATCACAATTTTTGTTACCGACTGCGTTCTTGAGCTTCCACATAACCGAAGCGAGTTACCGAAAATTGCGTTCATCTGACATGAGTGAGGAGTACGCTCATGATCAAGATGAACCAGATGACGACGAAGACGATACAGTCGCTGCTGTTGTTGTCAAGCTGTTGGTCATACAACAGAAGAAATTTCAGGAATGTAATATCGTATTCCAACCGGACGCAATGTTGTGCAACACCGAGATTATATATAACGAAGAAAAGAATAAAAAGTTCGAGGAAAAAGTGGAAAAAGTACCGAAATTGGACGATCTTCAGTCGTCGGTGACTTTGTTGATCCAACAACAACAGCAACAGCAGCAGCAGTTGAATTTAATGACTCCTGACGCTTTTACGACAAGCGAACAAAATTCGCGACCTAATAGTGTACGAAATAGCATAAACGGAGATATTAATAAATCGACTGAAGCTACAAATGGTGATACCGTTGAAAACTTAATAGATTTCCAAAGACCAGAAAAAGATAATTTTGCTAGTGGCGGTTCGAGTCCCAGTAGAGAAGTTCAAGAAATTCTATCTCTTAACAATTCAACCTACAGCACACAAGACTATTTTGATAATTTAACAAAAATGCAAGAAGAGCAAGAAATACCTCAGAAAGAGTATAATCATAACGAAAATTTAATGTTTCAAGAGAATCCAAACTCTGAGGTGGTGTGGCTTAAATTACCTTTAGTTAAAGACAATGAAATCAACAAGGAAGAGAATTTAAGGCAAGAGTTGCGTCTCGGCGGAGGGGATGAAATTACGAATTTAAATGACACCGAGTGGGACAAGACGCAGTTACAAGCAATAAGTTTCAGACTGACTAGTATAGAAAACACTCTCAACGATCAAAATATAGCTATACAAAAAATTCACCAAGAATTGAAATCATTAAATCAGACTAAAGAAGGTCATCTACAAGAAGATTTTAGTAAAGAGTTGGATCTAGCAATGTCAAAACAGCAATTACAAATTGCAAAAATGTTAGAGAATTTAGTAAATATGCAGAAAAATAATGAAAGGGACCAGCAAGACCACGTGATTGCGAGTGTGTCACAAATTGTTGTCAAGAGTGTCTCTGACAAACTACAGAATGTTGTGGCACACGAAATGAAACACGTGGTCGTGCCTACTATTAGAAATTTAGTAGAAGCACTGAAACATCAACTAGATGTACAAAATAGCCAGAAACTTAATAGTGATATTGTATTGCAGGATAAAATTTCCAAAATGATTAACAGCAAAGTAAGTGTAAAATCCAATGAAGGGTAATTGTTTAATTCAATGTTTTAAGGCTCTAGCTGAATCTCTTAGTTTGTCCGTTGCCAATGTGATAACACCTATTTTAGAAAAATGTTATCGAGATATGATTACCTCTACTTTAGTTCCTTCCTGGGAAAAGGTCTGCGGGAATATGTTCCATCAAATCAATGAAACATTCACTCAGGGGACAAGAGAATGTAAGTTTTATTTATTTTGTTAAATTAACCCAATATTTTTTTGGAAAGATTAATTAAAATTTAACATAACTTTGTAGATACTGCCTCTGTTGAAAACTATATGGAAAGACAAAGACGGGTTCAAGAGCGAGGCAAAGATTTAATTGTTCAAATGCAAGTCGTATCAGAAAATTTACAGATGAATACAGACAAGTTAATTGGAACTCTAACTTCAGAAATGCAGAAACAATTTTCTACGACAATGAAACAGTAAGTTGACAAAATACGACTATTTCTGTTATTTCTATTTATTATTGCCATATTTCAGTACCCAAGAAAATTTGCTGCAGGGCGTGAAAGATGTTATTAGCGAACAAATTAAATTAGGTTTCAAAAGTCATGCCTCAGCATTGGAAGACAGCGTTATGAATGCAGTGAGGTCAAGGGCCGTTACACCATCGCCCCATGTAGAAACCCAAGTACGTTTTAAGTATCCTTACTATTCTCCAAGATTTAAACGCTGCTAATTGTCTTTGGACAGTTATTTATGATTTCTTGTTCTTTATTTTGTATTCATTTATTACAAAATTGTTGCTTAGAAACAAGAGAAAATATTTTTGTGGGTTTTGTATTGAGCAGGTCTTAATAAACATTTTATTTTGGTTATAAGTCACATTTACTTTACTTCCCTTCTATTGTTTCAATGCGTTGTTTTGTCCAATTTTGTAGAAAATTGTAGAAGCAGCACAAGTTAAGTTTGTTTTACTGATGGCAGCAAGTTTGATTTCAGGTTACTTTGGCTCATCTTGATCACCTTATAGCAAAAGAAAGCTTTGATGAAGCATTCCAGTTGGCACTGTCTGCAGAGAATTTAAATTTTGTCATTTATGTTTGTGAGAAGGTTGATTCAAATACCCTTTTCCATGGATCCTCTCCACCACAACAAAACTGTATTTTAGCGTTAATTCAGCAGTTGAGTATGGAATTGAGTAAGAACACGGAGACCAAGATGAGGTAAGCTCGTATCTTTTGTTAGGTTTTTGATTAAAATGCGTTTGGTTGTAGTTACATCAGAGCGGCCCTGGTAGCACTAATTCCAGGATATCCCCACACTAGACAATTTATCCCAAAAGTTTTAAAAGATCTTTTAAAACAGTTGCAACAATTTATATCTACAAATCCCAATTCTAAGTTTATCACCGACGCTAAACTGCTTAAACTAGCCGTTGATAGTATACTTCTCGACAAGTAAAAGGAATTTGTTTTGTATGTTATACGTTTCTTTAATTTTTATTAAAATTGATGAAATTTTATTTTATATAGTATTTTAAATTTTGTGTCGACACATGTAACAGCCCGTGTTATTGTATAATTTCAATATAAAACCACACAATTCTACCAATTTTGTTTTCATTTTGGACTTAACGCTAATAAAAATTTTAAGCTGCACATGAATCAAACGTGGGATACAACGAAAACATTTAAGTTAAGGCGCCAAAGTTTACAACTGACGTTTAAATGACCAACGTTGACAATAGGTGGTAAAATTCCCTAGAAAATTTTTAGGTTATGTTAAAAACTATAACAAGAAATTTTAATTAACATTGTTAATCATGAAAAGGGGCCCAAAAGGAAGTCTACTGGTAGATCGACTACATAAAGGCTTCGTTTTAACGTGCATAGCAGTTACAGTATATGGATGTTCCGTATTAGCCATGAGAGGTTATCGATATTATACAGACGTACGACCCCAGTTACAGAAGAAGCAATTATTAGAACAGCAGAACTTACTAGCGGAAGGTTCATCAGAAGGCTTCAAAGCTACTCCCGAGATACGTGCTTAGTTTAAAGTAAAAAAAAGGTCTAATATTATATTAATGATTGTAATGCTTGATACATAGTCCTTATAGCCCTAGGATTGGCATATATTTTTTAAGTGTACAAGTGTATTAAAGTAGTACAAAATAGAAGCATGATTTTATAGCTTTGATTATAATCGAGCGCAATTTGTGTTACTAAAGTAACTTTTATTGTACCAGGTAGAATATGAATCAAAATAATAGCATTAAAGTTGCACAGAACCAGAGATTAATACCATTAAAAGATTAAAACTAAATTTGTTATGCAAAATAAGTAGAAAATGTGCATATTGAGGATAAATTGATATTTTGGAGCAAAATGCCTCATTTTTGGGTCCCCAGAGAAGTTTACAAAGCTAATTCAATTTTTTTTTTTTTTACTAGGTATTCAGTGAAATACATCATTTCTTAAGTGTTTTTATCAAATTGATTCTTGTTGGGTATCATTTTGTTTTTTGTTTTAAACTGCCTGTAAATTTGTTTTGTAAAGTACCCAAGTTATCTGAATACGTGCGTATATTCGTTATGTACTACTACCAGAATTAAACTTAAACTTAATACGATTAAATTTTAGTTTAATCTTATTTTTATAGCGTATTCAAAGATTTCAATTGAGAAAAAAATTAACTAGTAATGAATTAAGCCACTAAATACTACAATTATTGTTCATCATTTTTAAGTGTGAAGATATAAAGTTAATGAAAAAATTGTTCTAATATAAAAATAGTTAATATTCATGTGAGTGAGCGTGGGTATTCTATTAAAAAAAAGTTTTCTGATAGAAAAGGGCGCGAACATAGACAAACCAAGAAAGAATATCTATTTAATCCAATATCAACAACAATAATTCATACCATAAACTACCTACTCTATATAGTAGGTGGTTTGTGATTCATACAAACTAACACAGGTTACGATGTTATTGTTATAGGTTATAACTCGTTGTCGTTAAATTCAAATAAGCGATTGCGCACTATGTGTGTTTTGTTCTTTTCTCATTCTATTCCGTCTTACGGCGCGACTGGGTTGCGCAGTAACTCTGTGAAAATAAATGCTATGCGATGAACAGTCTGTTCTTGGTTTGTCTATGGGCGCGAATAAGAAAATTTGTTGGTTCGTTCTTCTGTAAAACTTCTGCGTAAATTTAATTGAACGGTTTCAGCTGGTTTTGAATCGCCATTTTCATTTTAAATCAAACTACGACGCAAAAATGCAATCAGAAATTTATTGATGTTGCCCTGTATATCGCGAGTTGTTGTGCACGTCACTTTTACTCGCTCCTCGTATATTCAAAATGGTGTCGAACAGGGAACTAAGTTCTGGCAAAAAGTTTATTTTATATTCATAGTTTTATAGAAAGTTATAGTAACAGAATGAGTTCACGAAGGTAAGTACTTATTTTTATCAATTTTTAAAATAGAAACACGAACAATGTAAACATGATCGATAAGAAATAAATTTCTTTGTTGGAGTATACAGGATCTGTCAAAAAAGTCGTATTTACACAGCAACAATGTGAATTTGTTTATTTTTTTATTGTTCAATAAAGATTTTTCAAGGCCTACAGGGTAGGATGCCTTACGTTGATAAAAACGATTTAATTACAGGTGGTTTTGGCCCACAATCAGTGGGATAGAAGCTGAACGAGTTTTAATGGAAAGGGGAGTTGATTGCAGTTTTCTAGCAAGACCAAGTTCAAATCCAGGAGCCTTCACCTTATCAGTCAAGTAAGTTTTTTCTTGTGCTATCAAATGGTAGAAACTGAACATCTGTTACAGGAGAAATGGAGAGGTTACCCACATCAAAATACAAAACTCGGGTGATTTCTATGACTTGTATGGTGGAGAAAAATTTGCTACGCTTTCAGAGTTGGTCCAGTACTATATGGAAAACCAAGGGCAACTTAGAGAAAAGAATGGAGAAGTTATTGAATTAAAGTATCCTCTAAGTTGCGCTGACCCCACAACTGAAAGGTAAGTTGAAATTCAGGATCTATATTTAGAAGTCCATTCAATCAAAATGTCCTAACCTTGTCCAGCCATTTTGCATAATTACATCATTGTGCACAAATTCCATTTACTGCTAGGTTTTCATTGGAAGCTTATGCAACAATCCAGACAAGTGTGCATGCATATTGATTTACCTAGGCATAAAGAGTTGTAATATATGGGACACTGTAAGGAATTTAGTCTGGCGTTAAAACAGAAATTCAAATGATAGATTTCCTGTAATTAAGAAGGAATAATATTGCCAACAGGAAAAATACTCCTGGTTCAAAAATTCACCATTGAATACTTTTGTAACACATTAACTTATTCACTCCTCTTGAAAGACAAAACAATTGATAGACAAAAAATATTAATGCACATTAACGAATTAATTAGTAAATATGGAAAAGTCATTCAAATTACATATACTGAATATTTTAATTATAAATCTCAAATTTTACAACCATTTAAGGAACATTGCCATGAAGTATTGTAACAATGTTGTGCTTCATGTGTAGAATATATTTGTACTACAGATTTAACTACTAATGGGCTTTAATGGCCACTTACCTTGACTTATCAAAAGCCTTCGACTGCGTGAATCACACCTCATTAGTCTGTAAATTATATGTATATAACATCCATCCAGACAGTTGCAGGTTAATAACATAATAATTTTTAACAAATGGGTTACTAAAAATATATAGAGGCAAAACATAAAAAGTTACCTTTGGGATATTGGTGTAATAGAAGGGTCAATATTAGGATTACTTTTATTTCTAATATTTATGCACGATTACACTTGTATAGCGAATATGACACTTTAAATTTTGGAACCACAAAGATACTTATATGTACGTGTAACGTTCATACTGGCGTCTTCATATTAGTAATGCTTCTCGAATTTATTTTATTTTGTAGATAAACTGGTCATAATTTTTAATTAGCATCATAATGACAGTATACTATTTATGTGCACCTCTAGTAGATTAGTATGTACTCTACCTAATTAAGATAATCTTTTTTTCTTATTAGTGCAGTTTTTTCAAATATCAAGATGTGTGTCATAAGTTTTCACAAGTACACCACCGTGGCTGTCATAGGCGCCAAACAAATACTAGTACTTCACTTCTTAAGCAGTTTCGGTAATTATGACTTGAGAGCTGAAGGCACAAACTTTTGATTTTATATATCGGGTGTCCGGAAAATGGCGGATTAACTCTCCGCTACGCTCTTAACAATCAACTGGTGAGTGTGAGATAAATAGTAAAAAAATTCCTTCTCACATTTTGGTGGAGTTATAGTGATTTTAAAATTGGTTCTTTTGCTACGTTTAACAACTAAACAACACATTCATTATCACAATTACTAGTAATAAAATTTTTAGTTAATATTTCTCTCGCTCATGACCATGTTTAATTACAAATTCAGTTAGAATGTACAAAACTAGCCCCGCCCACCCGCCTTTTTTTTTTTTAATTAGAGGGTAGCTCATTTGGCAAAATCAGTCTTATCTCTGAAGCTACTAGTCCTGCCCACCCATCTTCTCTTTTCTTTAAGAAGAATTTTACCAAGATCAGTTTTATTTTAGCACGTACTGATGATTAACTTTTACAAAAAGTGATAAAAATTTGGAAACATTTCGAGCTTACTTATATGCACAAGACAGGAGTTTTGAACATCTTCTCTAGTGTTTAGTTGGTTATGTCTTTGTTTATAATTTATAAATGTCGTATGAAATGTTTTTTTTTTGGATTATTTATTAATGAAAAATAACAGCTTATTATTAATAATAATGCACCCGATTAATGACTACTGGTTATTGTGGTTATTGTCCTAAAAAAAGTAAAAGATGGATTTCAGTCACCGTCGTTACTAAGAAATCAGAAAGTAAGCCGGAGGTATTCACATATTACGTGCGTGCAGTGTTGCCAATTTTACTTTTATAAAATTACGTTTTTCGTAATCTACATCATAAAGAATTTTTTTATTATTTTTTGGGACTCCCGACATCCCCATACGTAACGTACTGAAGAGATTCGCCATTTTCTAGACACCCGGAATAGCAGTAGCTAAAAAGTTGTCGCAGTAATACTGTGTTGTGAATCCTTTTTGGAGAATAGTTATACATACTTTGACTTTTTATTAGTTTGAAAACCCCGTTTTGTCTTAGCATTCTTTTCTTCGCATTCCCTTTTTTCTTCGTTTCATTTACACAACTTCATACCTGTAAAATATGCAAAAAATATTAAATTTGATTTAAATGTTTTTGTTTTTTAAGTATTGTAATTCCATAACCACTAGGAAGTGGAAAAGTAGGTCCCGTTTCCGTATGTCTGCGATCTGCTGTTTATGTCTGCGTTGTTATTAGGCAAATAAAATAATTTGTCTGATCATCCCCAGCAACAATTTGGTGGCGTCCTCACAAAATCTTCCAAATAAATCATATTTAAAGGTTATAAAACAGCATACAGTTGAACTACTGTTTTTCGAATACGGCAAACTTAAAATCCTCTTTTGTTGTTTTTCAGAGAAAAATAGATATACAGTGTTTGAATTTATTATAATATTAAACTATTGTCAGTTACATAGTTAACACGATTCAATTTTTATAGCATCACTTTCTTCTATTTTTAAGCTAAGTATGTAATTGAAAATAGAAATCTTCTGTTGTACAATTTTAATTATCTACTCTCGTCAAGTTGGATTCCTTAAAAAATACCACAAATTACTAGACCGGTTGTTAAATTTTATTATGTGATTTAAGCATATCGTGTGGAGGGTGAAACTCTAACCAAAATTGTCCAATCATCCTCACCATTTTGCGTAGTAAAGCTTATTTAAATTTTATAAAAGAATAGACTCCTGAATTAGTGGTTAATGAATCTACATACATTAATTTTTATCACGATTACGCTACAAAATTTTGTTGTGTGCAAAATAACATACTTCTCTATTTGTAGTTTATGAATCCGTGTTGAGTTTTTACACTAGACATCCAAATTTTTGGGACAAAAAATCCTCTGAAATCTTGCAAACCTTTTAAGGTTAATCGTTAATCAAAATCTATCCGTTTACACCCCTCTAAAAATTGATGACGTTATTTTACAATTTTACTGAATAAATGTTATTTAAATTTTATAAAATAACATACGTCTGCATGTGTGATTTCTAAATCCATCTTGAGTTATCAACCTAGACATACAGAGTTTTGAAAAAAAAAAAAAAAATCAAAATTGTGTGAAATTTTGCAATTTAACTTTAAAACTGCAAAACCGAATGCTCTAAAATCTCGCAAACGTATTACGGTTTTCGTAAGCGTGGAAAATCGTGAATCAAAATTTATCTGTTTATTTCCTTCCAAAAAATGATGACGTCATTTAAAAATTTTACAGAATTCATATAAAAAGTACACAATATTAAGAGTCTCTACATTCATAATTCATAATTTTTAGAATTGCTTATAATAGATGACGCAAAAAAATTAATGAATGAAGGGACATATTTTGTTGTCCATCCCATTTTCCCTAAAATTTGAAGATACAGTACTGTTAATAATAGTACTACACTGCACCTATTCAAATTGACATACGTGTCTTTGTTAAAATATTGATGACGTCATCAAAAAAATTATATGGAGAAACTCACTAGAAACATTTGCGTAGGATGCTTCTTTACCTGTACTTTAACAGTCCACACATATATCAATTTTATAATTTTTCAAAGCTGTATTTGTTCGACTGTACTGTAGAGGCGAGGAAGTTCTGTAGAAGTAAACTTCGACCAATTTTTAAAACTTTCTATGCATTAATCTGTATAACGAATTAATAAAATTCATTGACTTGAATATTTTTTTGTCTTGGCATTTCGATTTATGGAGGTTCGACTGTACTTTTATACCTGTGGTTTATGAATCCATCTTTATTTTGTACCTTTAACGCCCAGATTTTTGAAAAAGAAAAGTAACATTTTACAATTCATTCTTTCTTCGATAACTTCAACCGTTTGATTGATATATTGCAATTTTAAAATATTTCAAAAAATTCGAATTTCAGACCGAATTTTCCGAAAATATTGCCCCGTTACCATAAATACGCTATATTTTTGGAACCAGTACGTCGAGGGCTATATCCCTGAATTTTTTCAAAATTTTTGGACGACTTTTTCAAAAATAAAATTTTGCACACTTGTAAATTTCGACCCATTCTCAACGATTTTCGAAATTGAACTAAATACATTTCTTGTAGATTTCGTCACTTCCGGCCTGATTTCTTCGATAACTCCAACCGTTGTTTTAGAATCGTCCATTGAAATATCGCAATTTTTAAAAATTTCAATACAACAGGTGCATGTCGGTGCATGTTTTCAAGTTCAGTTCAGATTCCAGAGTTTTTGTTCTGATTAAAGAGACATCGACTTCAACGGTCGTATACGGTGCGAATTTTGCTCAAACATCAGGTACTCAGGTATATGGATAATTTTGACCAAATTGCGGTAAAAATTTTGCTTAAGTATCAGGTAGTCAGGTACAGTTGAATGAACTGCGGAATATTTCCGTTGGGGGTTAGGGGGCAGGGCACAAGTGCGCCAGTAGTATAGTGGTCCAACTGTGACTTCGTTTTTATGGCACTGCAATTTCAAATACCGCAAGTATTAGGAACTCTATTGAAAATGTAAATAGCCGTGCCATAAATCATCTTAAAGGTTTACGGGCGCATACGGCCCTGTGTAATGTAGACGGTTGGTCCCTTGATGGTTTATGACCGCTGGATTACTTTCGGCAGAGGCCTATTGTGGAACACTTAACTTCTTCACAATAGGATACAGTCATAAAAACGAACCAGCAGTTGGAGCACTATACCTGTATAATCTTGGTAATTATAAATAATTATAAATATACAAATAAATTCTTTGCATAAAAACGAAAAACGATATATTACAAAAGATGTACTTCATAGACATATGTTTATAGAATCTAAAATTAT